GAAAATAATGATATACTTAATACAATTTAATCAATTAAAAATAAAATTTAATACATGATATTATTTAAAAATAATGTAATTTTATACTTATTCAACAAATTAAAATGAAAGATATGAACATAATTTAGTGAAACAAAATAAAAAATTTCAATCTAAAAAGTACATGTATTTTACGTGAATAGTAACTCTTGATAGTTAATATGATTGCAAAATATAAAACAAAGGAAGGTAATAGAAAGAAAAGTGGACAAATTTTTAAAAGTTATGTAAGTAGAAACTAAGTCTTAATTATATATGAAAAGTTAGAGAATAAAAAATTAATATAATAAAAGTTATCTGTTCATCAGAAATTTAATTTAATACATACAATATAAAATAATAATTTTGTGAGGTTTGAGGCTAAGATGATGAAAGTCTTTCTTTAAATAATGGATCTATGGGTAAGAGAAGGAAACAAGAACAATGGATAATAAATGTGTTTTTATAGTGAATGATGGTTTAGGGAATAAGGGAAAGAATGAAAGGTGGGTGATTGAAGGTGGTGGTTTGGAGAAGAGAAGGATGAATAGAAAAGAGAATAATTTTTGGGTAGTTGAAGGTGGTAGTTTGGAGAGGAGAAGAGTGAAAGAATAATTGATGTAGGAGCTTTGATGGTAAAGAGGTGTAGTGGTTAGCGGCAAAGCTTCGATAGAAACACAGTGGCCGATGGTAGCATAATCTGTTGGAAGTTAGTAATTTTTTTTTTTTAGAATATTATGAGTTTGAGTTAATGTATAAAATACTTATTAAATAATAGAAATATATTAAAAAAATTATAAAATGCATGATAGAAACTTGTAACTCTTGAAACCTTATCTTTCCTTGCACTATCTTATCTTTCTCTTTACTATATTTTTCAAAAAATAAAATAAAATCTTCTTCTTCTTCTAAATTTTTGAACCACTCTTCAAGATTGCTCTTCCTTTTATATTAGAGTTTTTTCATAAAATACTAAAAATCTAAAATTTTTCACTATATATATAAAGTAACATTAATTTAAAAGTTTAATTGTTTGTAATATTTTATTTTTCTTTTAGAAATTAGTTTTGAATTTGCCTAATTTATTAAGGCAAAATTTTAGTTTTTTCTTAATACTATTTGCTTCTATTCCTCTTTTTTAATAATAAAATTTAAAAATAAAAAATTTTAAAACAAAATTACAATGTTCATATTTAGTAATTTTATTTTAAATTTTTATTTATTTATTTTTAGTTTCTACAATTAAATTCTATAATAAATTTTATAAAAATGTTACACTGTTTGTATTACATTTTGACTGAAGTATATTTTTAGTTTTTCTCAATTTAGATAAACTTCTAAATAAATATTTAATTTAATATAAAAAAGTTATTTTATAAATTAAAATAACTTATACTTCTCAAATTTTAAAGAAGTTAAATAAGAGTTTTAAAAAATAAAAAAATGTATAAATTTGAGAGAAATTTGATTTATTTTATTATTAGATTTCATATTTCTCTACATATTTACTGTGAAGTCATTTATATTTTTACAAGCATCTTGTCAATGATTTTTAAAAAAAAAGTTATTATATTTTTTAGTTCTCTTAATTTAATACTTCTATCAATAATATTCTTTTTAGAATTACGTTAGTGGAAAGAAAAAAACTAAAGAAGAAAAGTTTAAAAGAGTTAAAATAAAACTTTAAAAAACTGCAAGCAAAAATATATTTAAGTCTTATATTTTTTTTAAAAAAAATCCATCATAATATATGCGTGTGAGAAAAAGTTTATTTTTGATGCACCACTAAATTACTAACTAATTAAAACATTAAAAATAGTGTTTAAAAATAATTATTAAAACTTTAATATTTTTATTGACATGGCAACACATGATTAAATAAAATGTAAAAGTATTTTACCTTGTCTATATTAAAAATAATTAGTGACTAATTATTTTTATTTACAATAATTAAATGAGATATTAATTTGAACACCTTTAATTTTTTTATAAAGAGACAAATGTATATATTTGTAGCGAGTAAGTAGAAAGTTGATGCTACTTTTGTTTACAAAAATCTTTCTTATTATTTGAGAAATTTTTTTTTATAGGCAAAACATATATTATTAGAGAGAGTTCAAAAGAAACTCAAAATCCATATAGAGAAAAACACTAAAACTACTCAAGAAAATAAAAAATAAAAACATACTTATACAAAACTAAGATGGATGCAATTTCGTGGGTTCAAATACCAATCAACAAACAAAATAGCTTCTCCCTTACTAACAAGTGATAGTCATTTTTAAGACCTCAAAATAATAGAATCTAGGACTTACCTCTCATCCAAAACACCATTGGAAAACACAATTCTATTTCTATGTAACAACAAAGATCATATTGTACTTACTCAAACAATTAATAAATATATTCCTTCTTTTTTACTACAACCAACACCAACCCAAGAAAGAAAGTGAGTCGATAAATCTGAAGGTAAAACCAATGAGAATCCAAGCTAACGCGGAGTAAAGTACCAGATTTGAGACGAAACTAAGTACGTTAAAAATAAATGAGTTGGAAGTTCCTCCAAACTATGACAGAAGCAACAAGTTATATCATCAATTTGAACACTACGATCAATCAATAAATCTTTACAAGGAAATGCATTCAACAACCATTGCCAAGAAAATACCAAACACTTAAGAGGGACCTTCCCTTTTCATAGCCCTTACAAGGCATCTGCTGTACACTGATCTACACTATTAGGACCACCAAAAAGTTCAAATAGCTATGAATACGCAAATTTCACTAAATAACAACCTGAAAAATATACCCTCCATACCTATTTATCTTCTTGTAGTACCTTAATAGAAACATCATCCACAAACTCCAACAAAAGATTAAAGCTTGAGATCTCATGTTGAAAGAGTCTTCTTCGCCAACTAACATCTCAAACTCACCTAGTGCCATCATGAAAACCATTCTCCAATACACAAGATTCACCGTTCCTCGCCACCGCAAATAATCGCGGAAATGCCTCACACAATCGTACTTCACCTACCCACTTATCTCTCCAAAAAAGAGTGTGCAAACCTACACCCACACTTCTATCTAACTTCTTATTTAGCCATGAATTCTCTTAATGAATAACTTTCAGGAAATTACGCTACCACAAAGAACATCTATTGTAGACTGATGGACGCTGAATAGAAGAAGCTAATCTGCCATACCTAGTTTCTGACACCCGCACCTACAATAAACTAGAATAATTAATACCTCACAACAACCATTTACCAAGAAGCTCCCAATTAAACCACTACATATTTCTAATGCCCAAGCCACCATTCTTCTGTTGTCTACAAACCATTTCTCATTTCACCCAGGAGATTTTAGATTCATCCTTAACACCTTTCCATAGAAGATTATGCTTTATAGTGACAATCTCTTTTATCACTGCCTTCAGCGCTTTAAAAAAGGATAACGAGTACAATGATATAGAATTAAGAATAACATTAATCAAAGTCATCCTGCCTCCAATCGATAAACTTATATTAGTGCCAAAAGTTATTAGTTAAGTGAAAGAATTAATAAAACATATACTTCCTTCTACTGTAATATCTTTCAATTTTATTACTATTTTAATATATAACTTTGGCTACTAATATAATTAGATTTTTTTTTAGGATTGAGGATAAAAACTAATAATAATAAAATTTTATTAAAAAGAGAAATATTTATTATATTTTTATAACTTCAATATAATAATTATATATATTTTTTATAAAAAAAAATTCATTCATATTTATGAATGTTTAAACTTTCCTAAGAGCTAGGTTAACAAAAAAAAACCAATATAATTCAGCTATACTAGCTGAAGTCATTAATCAACTCAGATGTCATGCATATCAATTAAAATTTAATTAAAATATCATATTTTTATAATTTTAATATAATAAGTATATATTTTTTTATAAAAAGAAATTTTCATTTATAAATATTTAAACTTTCTTAAGAGCTAAGGTTAACCAAATTCAATATAATTCAGTTATATTAACTGAAATTATTAATCAACTGAGATGTCGTTCATATCAAATAAATTGGGTTTTATCCCCCACATACTCTCAATGGCTTATTAATATGTTAGACCGATAAAAATATTTCAACAACGTCCAAATTTCACCATACTCATAACCTCTAAAACTAAGCATATGATTCTTTCAAATAAATTTATCTAATTATTTAGAAAAATAAATACTAATAACTTTTACACTATTAGAATAGAAATAACTAGATTACTTTGGTTAAGTTTTATAAAAACTGAACAACATGAATATAATCAAATTATATATAAAAAGTTTTATGAGAAGAAACTAAGAGTAAATATTTTATATATTTGGTTATGTTGCTTTCTTAATTACATTAAAATTATATAATTGCATAAATTGTTCTGCATATTACTTCATCAAAAGTTATGATTTGATTGGGTGAATTATATAAAATGCTCAAACCTATTTATTTATTAATTACATAATTCAAAAATTGAGGACATCAATAATTTTCGTCACAAAGGCTGTATCTTGAAAATAAGCTCACAACTTTATTATAATTTAAGAATATGATAGCCTTCTTTAATATGCATGAAAATTAAATTAATAAACGGAAGGTTTTCTTGCAATGAATTCAGAATTGCCTACTTCGACAGAAAAGCGAAGGTTTCAAATCTGAGAAAAATTAAAGGAGGTGACATCACAGTCACTAAATACTAAAGACAAATTGAATCCAACTAACATAATCTATAAAGCTCTGTAATTTATTGATTGATAGATTCAATCTCGATACAGTGCTAACAACTTGAAAGTTCATATTAAATAGAGAGACAAAAACCTAATCTGCAAACGTGGAAAAGGACAGAAAACTTGATTTCGAGACAGTATGCGTAAACTTATTATTACTAAAACAACAAACCCGCACGAACGGATCCGATATCGTATAAATTTTATAGGAAACTAGATCTTCGGATAAGAAGCTTGCATAGCGATGCCACAAAGACCCTGAGGATCACCACCTCCCCTCTGCAACTTCATGAATCCACCATCTCCCCATTGCTCACCCCATGAATTCTTGATCAACCAGTAGTCTTTGCCATCTTCACTCCCATAACCAATTACAGTAACCGCATGAGTGAGATCAGTTCCGCATGGTCCTTCAAATAACCCTCCACTGTAATGCTGAAAGTTATCATTCACAGCAATGCCAACTGACACTGGCTGATTGGCCACAGCTTGTAGAAGTTGTTGTTCATCATTTTGAGCTACATCTACAAAATCACTTATTTTAGATGCGGCTTTCATCTCATTCTGGCATGTTCCAGCAGCTTCTTGGTATGGGTAATCGCTTCCCAAGGCGATGCCCTGGTTTTGTATGATATATTTGAAGGCAGTGTCCATGAGGCCTCCATTGCACCCGTTGTTATTCGTATCACAGTCCAACAGTTGTTGCTCTGACAATGAGATCAACTGGTTAGTGTTGATTTGGTTTATGCCTTCTATTGCCGCGACAGCTGAAAATGCCCAGCAGCAGCCTGCAAACAGTTGAACCATACAATTAATTGATTTTCAGGACAATGGAAGAGTTAATACAAAAATATATTGAAGTACAGAAATCGATTTAAATTTATAACACAGTTATTTATTCTATCTTTACTTCAATTCATTTTATTTTTTGTAAGACTTAACTAATAAAGTATTCATTTAAACTGACCCGGAATAAAAGAATACTAACATGCTAACACTTTGTGATTATGGCAGGCTGAACTGTTATTATATAAGAGCAAGAGTTCTTTACTTACCACATTGGCCTTGGTCCTTAATTTGGGTGACAGCACCTTTCTCTCTCCAGTCCAAACTTTCTGGAACATCTCTCAGGTTCAAGAGTGGAGCGGAGGAGGACGAGTATGGTTTCCTTGAATTAATCTTGAATCCGGTATGTGAAGCAATGAACTCTTCTTCAGTTAAATCCGAAAATTGGTTCAGGCCCAACTTGTAGCTGTAATTCCCAGCATTGTTGAATTTCTCTATGTATTCCAAGTTCTCCAAAAATATTTTGAAGCGTTTCTCCTTCTCAGCATCATCAGCATAGGAGCGTGCATACTGAGACATCCACTGCTGGTGTGTTTTAGCAACAGAAGATTCATACAACGTTCGGGACATGGCTGGGAATGCACATGTCCAGAATATAACACAGACAGCAATAAGATGCTTCATTTCAATTGCCATAGCCATTTTTCTTTTGAGATAAAAGCTATTTTGTATGGAAATGGCTGTGACAAAACAGCATAGAGTTGGGGTATTTATAGCATTCAAAACTCTATTCCTGGAGACAATCACGGTGTAAATGATTAATGATCCAATTCCCCCAACACTTAAACTGGTGTAGGGTTGACTTGAATGTGATCAATGACTTCTATGACTCTTTCTATTCAATAAATACAGCGTAAAAGTACCATTTTTTTAATTTCAATATTTAAAATCAAATTATGGATTTTTAAAAAAATTATTAAAAAATATTTATTACATTTATGAATATTTAAACTTAATTCTAAGAGTTCAATTTTTTTTTAACAAATAACATCAAGAGAGAGGCACATCTAAGATAGAATTTTACACACACTAAATGATTCATCAATCAAGTGGAGAGTTGACTAGGCATGTTCAAGCAATATGGTTGTGGCATCACCTGAACAGGCTGAACTGTAGAGCCACGGTTATCTAATGCATATCAAATAATTTGTTTAATCCCTCGATAGTCACTCAATCCCTAGGTAGTCACTCAATGCTTTGTAAATGTCGACTGCATACTTTCTTTTAAAAAATCCTTAAATTTTAATGCATTTATAACTACAGCAGTTAAATCAAAATTCAAATTGTAAATAAAAATTTATGTTTTAAACTGTGAATCAAATTCTATCGTGAATCGTAAGATATAATAAAAATTATTTTAATATAAAAAATACATTCATGTATTGATATTTTATAATCTCTTCAAACAACAAATAGTAAAAAAAGAATTAAGAGAAGACAACTATAAAATAGAAACAGTTAAAGAGGCATGGAAGTGAGAGGGGGAAATGAGAAAAAAACTTGATAAGACTACAAAAAATAAATGAGGGAACCACAAAAAATCTTAAGTAAAAAAACACTAAAACAATAGAAGAGTGAAAAATAGCAAAGTGAAAAGTATTAAGTCGAAACAACAATTTTTACACAAAAAAAGTTTTAAAAAAGAATTTTTTAGAGTTTTTAGTGAACTGGATCGTGCTGACCGTACCCGTTTTGGTGCGCGACCCGGTTTATGATTGAATTATGCGCCGCTCACGAGAATCACAATTTGTGTGATTCCGACAATAATTTTAGACAAAAATGATACACACATACTATACGAGTCTCTTAATTCTTGAACCGCATCGAATTAGATGTAACGTATCACGAATCGTACGATACAACTACAATACTTATAACTTCTAGATTTTCAATGTCTTTTGTTTATTTTAAAGTTAAATACTCAATTTTTAAATAAGTAAAATTAAGTATTGGTTTAATTTCTTTTGAAAGGCAAGTTCCAACTTTATATATTAGAGAAATATAGAATTAGCTCCAAGACCTAAGAATACATTATACATGATCAGGACAGTTAACGCTGTCAAAATCAAAAACTTCTGATGCTAAAATATGTGCAACTAAATTAGTCTCCCCGTGAGTGTATATTGCAAGAGGTATAATTTTCAACCAATGAGACGCAATCATCAATTAACTTGAAATAATAAAAGTAATTTTAAGTTGTTAAATATAATTAAAACATGTGTATAAACTCGTTTAAATTATATTTAAAAAAGCTATAGATTTTTTAATTAAAAGATATAAAATTTAATTTTTCAACAATAGAAAACTAAGTCTGAAGTTATTTTGCAACCCTGCGTATAAAACTGCTTCATGCGCATAGATGAGATGTCAACATCGTATCACCTCGGTCAGAGGTTGATTTAGATGTAGAACTCGACTGAAGAATAGATGAAGGGTTTCGGGTTAAACTCAATGAAGATAAGATATCTTTTCAAATAGGAAAAAAAACTCAAGCAAATCACTTACCTCAGAGCAGGTTTATCCTTGAACGAGCACTTGGCACTTCCAAAAGTGTTGATAAGTAATGCCGATTTGTTTGCATGGTCGGTCTCTGATATGCCAGGCATAGATCTCAATTTCTTATTGCATCATTTATTAGTCTACAAGGGGGTCAAACCGATCGCCTAGAAAAATAGGAAGATAGGTAGTAATAGAGCACGAGCAATTCAAGAAGAGACTAACAAATTATTACAAATCGACTTTATCCGAGAAGTTCAATATTGCACATGGTTGGCTAATGTTGTCATGGTAAAAAAGGCGAGTGGAAAGTGAAGGATGTGTACCGATTTCACTGATTTGAATAAAGCATGTCCAAATGATGCTTATCATCTTCCCAACATTGATGCCTTGGTTGATGGAGCTGCTGGCATAAGATATTCAGTTTTTTATATGCATATTCCGGTTACAACCAAATTCGAATGTACCCCCCATATGAGAAGAAGACGGCCTTTATCACAGAATCAGCTAACTATTGTTACAAAGTTATGCCCTTCAGTCTTAAAAATGCAAGAGCAACATATCAAAGGTTGATGGATAAGATTTTTGTAAGATAAATAGGGAGGTGTGTGGAGGTGTACGTCGATGATATGGTAATTAAATCCATTTCTATCAACAGTCGTGTCCAACATTTAATTGAAGTATTCGGTGAAGCAAGACGACATGAGTTACGATTTAATCCTGAGAAATGTTCATTTGGAGGTAGTCGGAGGAAAATTTTTAGAATTCATGCTTTCAGAGCGAGGCACTGAGGCAAATCCAGATAAGTGTCAATCTATAATTAATATGACGAGTCCTCGAAATGTAAAAGAGGTACAACGGCTAGCTGGCCGAATAGTTGCACTATCTCGTTTTTTGCCTGCAATGGCAGAAATATCTCAGCCTTTCATTGACCTCCTCAAAAAATCCTAAAAATTCACCTGGACGAATGAATGTGAAGCAACTTTTGTCTAGTACAAAAACATGTTGGCAACCCTCCTATCTTAACAAAGCCAAGAGAAGGACAAGAGATGGTCATCTATTTAGCCGTATCACACAAAGCTATCAGTTCGGTGTTATTACATGAACAACCCAAGCAGGTCCCGGTATATTTTATTAGCAGAACGTTACAGGATGCCAAAACTCGATATCAATTTATGGAGAAAGTAGTATTGGTATTAGTGCACACAGCGCAGTGGCTAAGACATTATTTTCAGAGTCATAAGGTGGTGGTACACATCGATTGTCCAATTGCAAAAATTTTACGCAAACCTGAATTAGCAGGACGGTTAATGACATGGACGATCAAGTTATCCTAGTATGATATTCGTTTTGAAACCCGAAAACCCCTTAGGGCTCAAGTACTGACAGACTTTGTCAACGAATTCACCAATCATACGCAGGCTATTACCAACATGTGGAAATTATATGTAGACGGATCATCAAACCTTCGCAGTTGTGGAGCTGGAGTTATCCTAGAAGGGCCAAACACAGTTGTACTTGAACAATCTATACGTTTAGGATTTAAGGCATCCAATAATCAATCCGAGTACGAGGCGTTGCTCGTCGGCCTTCGGTTACCAAAAGAAATTAGGATCAGGCGCATCACATGTTGGAGCGACTCTCAAGTTATGGCCGAACAAATTAACAGCACATACCAGATAAAAGATCCGGTCATGTTACAATACTATCAGGAATTTAAACAAATAGAAGGTGAGTTCGATGAAGTAAGAATCTGGCACACACCGAGAACACAGAATGAACAGGCTGATAGGCTCGCTAAACTAGCTAGTCAGAGGAAACCCAGCCAGCTTCAAAGTATGATCCAACAAGAAATTCATAAGTCGAGCATTATGAGGCAAGAATGCATAGAAATAAAAGACATGCCTCAAAATTAGATGACAGTAATCGTACAATACCTCGTCAAAAATAAACTTCCTGACAATCCTGCCCAAGCTAAAAAGATAAGAGTACATGCAGCCAAATACACCCTTCTCGACAAAGAATTGTACAAGAGAGGGATTTCAACTCCCATGTTGAAATGTCTAGATGAAAACCAGGCTAATTATGTGATGAGGGAGATACATGAAGGTATTTGCAATATCTACTCAGGGGGCGAACAATGGTAGTAAAAGTATTGAGACCCAGATACTATTGGCCGACCTTGTCCAAAAATTGTGAGCTTTTCGTCAAAAAATGTATCCCTTGTCAATAACATGGTCCGTATATACATTAGCATGCCGACATCCTTCATCCAATTACCTCTCATTGGCCCTTTGTCATTTAGGGAATGGACCTACTAGGACCCTTCCCTTTGGCTAAAGGACAGTGCAAATTTTTTATCGTCGCTATTGATTATTTTACTAAATAGATTGAAGCAGAGCCGCTTGCTAATGGTCTACAATTAACAGATCAGTGCTTTAACGAATTTCTAGAAGAATTACATATTAAGCACTGAGTCACTTCTGTCGAACATCCTCAAACTAATGGACAAGTTGAGGCAGCAAGTAAGGTCATCTTACATGAACTTAAAAGAAGATTGGGTTCGGTAAAAGGTGAATGGGCAGAAAAATTACCCAACATTTTATATGCTTATCGGTGTACTCCCCAAACAACCACAAAGGAAACACCTTTTTGGTTAACATATGGTACTGACGCCATGGTCCTGGTTGAAATTGGAGAATCATCTTTTCAGAGGCAACACTTTGATGAACACTCTAATGATGAATCCTTAGATGTTAAATTCAAAACTTAAACCAAGAAGTTTCAGGATGGAGACTTGGTATGGAGAGCCACGGGGAAGTCATATGAGACTGACGAGAAGGGAAGCTTGCAACCAACTGGGATGGACCTTTTCAGGTAACAGTCTGCCTCAATAATGGATCATACAAACTAGAAAAACTCGAAAGGAAAGCTATACTGAGGACCTGGAATGTGTCACACCTTAAACATTATTTTAGTTAAAGCTTATGTAAATCAGCGTACTCTTTTCCTCGTTCAGGTTTTGTCCCCTTAAAAAAAAAGTGAAAAGGGATTTTCCTGAGAAGGTTTTTAATGAGGCACTTCGTTAGTAAAATTACCTTTCTACAAAGTATTCGGCTATTATGCAT